GTTGCTATGGCATCTGACAGACAAGTGTTTGTGTGATGAGACCAGGGACAGGGCAGCTGGGCATTGTTGGGCAGTTCTTTCAGCTTTGGCAGTCCACCAGATTACTTCAGATCTTTTTTCCTCCCTCTGAGCTTCAGTTCCCCCAGTGACAACATTTCTATTTGTGCACTGATTTTATATGTCATTAAAATGTGGCTGTATAATAACTAGTAATTGTTATTATATAGCTTATTTTCCCACTGTGTGTGTGGATGATTATTCCATAAATCAATTTGAAATTGATCATAAATACTTAACTTTAGCTTGTATCTCTGAGCACTAGAAAATAACAAATGATGCAAGAGTGATTAATATATTCTAGTAAGCTAGCATATCCATGGTAACTCAAACGCACTGTCTGATCTGTACCGAGACTGAATTTGACATCAGATGTGGGATTCCTCTTACAAAACTTTGGGTATGTTCTTCTAAGTCTAGGCTTCCTCCACTGCGAGTGGAGAAAGACAAAACCCTTGAAAGAATACTTCTTCCCTCTTGTTTGGAAATGAAATTTCCTCCATTATCTCTCACTGCTGACTGCAGAGGAACTTGTGTTCTGACACTAGAACTTTTAATGAACTAACGTAGGTGACAGGCATCTTATCTCTTATGTCTAAGCAGTCAACTTGATCATCTGGCAGATTTTAGAAACATTTTCTGGATTAAATGAGGTCTTAAAAATAACTTTGGCTAGAAATATTGACAAAGCTTGAATGTCATAAAAATGGTGTTAGATATTTTACGAAGCACTAAATATAATTTAGGGTGGCAGAAGAATCTGTATGAATCAAATACTGAGCTGTACAAAGAGTCATTAAAAGTTTGATGAAGTAGCATAAATAATGTGAAGAATGAGGCATAAAGAATTTTCTGATTTTATCTGTGACAGAATGAGTTTTCTCATCATAATTAAAAACACAATCCATCATCTTCAGTATTTATGGGAGTTTTTCTAGAAAGAGCAAAAGCTCAAAAAAGACAAAAGTAACCAGTTTAGAATAGCTTTAGAATTTATCTTCTTTGGAGTAATTTCTACAAATTCAACATTTTGGAGAGTTTAAGAATATCCATGTGAGGTTACTGTTTCCCTCTTCCCTCTTCTCTTCCTAAAATTTTCCAGCAGTCCCAACTCAAAGGGAGCTGCAGAGCAGGAAAAGGACAATGCTTGCCACAGTACTGGGGAGCTGCCGCCTTCAAAATCAACTTGAAATTCTCACTTTGATGAGGCAAAGGTTTGAAGTAATCCATAGATTTACAGTGACATTTTTGAGCATGATACGAGGAACTGGTCAGAAGTCTCACTGAAATATTTATTCAGTGGGATTCACACCATGCATTCATTCAGATATTTGATAGCTTGTACTCTTTAGCAGTAAACAAGGGGATATTTGCTCAGATCGAGTTCCTGCCCCTACTGAAATCAACAGCAAAACACACATAGACCTCAGTGAAGTAAGTAACTTGAGAATCCTGATTTGTTGTGCTTACTTCCAATTTCTTTGTTTGAAATGCCCTTTTTTTTTTTTTTTTTTTTTTTTTGAACTGGGGTTACAAGCACTGTATTGTTTTTCTGTTTCCAAAGCTAAAATATCTTTTCCTGTTTCCAAGGAAGATATGACTTATTTGCCATGTCACATTCATACATTTCTGAAATAACTGCATCTGTCAGTAAAACCCAAAGTGTTCGGGCAGACTGGGCCAGATTTTATAACAAGTGTATACCAGCAAGCTTTGCAGATTCAAGATAAGACCTGTAACTTCTAATGAAAATTTAGATGTAAAAAATATGAAGCACACTGAAATACCATTGCTCACCCATAGTAATCAAAGTATAATATGCTCACTCACAGCAAAAAGTCCTTCTGCTTCTTGGGAATCTGAATTACACAATAAATTATTTCTGAAGCCTGTGATTGAGAAGAATGGATAGATCTGCTGATTGCAGGAGCTGGAACTGCTAGACATGACAGGTTCCCATCAGTGAGGGTTATATGTGTCTATCTGACCCCTCTTACCCAGATATCTTTTAATCCCATTTTATAGTTAGACAGTTTGGCAGTGTTACAGTGATCGTCTGAAAAAATAGTACAGTCTTAAATATCTTGTGAAATGGGCATCCCAGATTTGACACTGCTAACAAAAACATTGCACCTCACTAGAGAGCCTACCTGGAATGCTGACATGGTGGTCTGACCCAACCCTGCACAGTCTGAAATGCAGGAAAATTCGGTCACACTCCTGCAGAGTTACATTTCTTTGCATGAAATGCTCAGATACACAGACACCTTGCTCCCAAGTCAGGGCATAGGAAGCTTTAGCAAGCATAATCTCTGAAGTGTGGAGGACTGTCTAGATCAAACCGGCAAAACTGCATGTTTGCATAGCAGATAACTTTGTAAAATTTGCAGTGGCTGCCTGGACAATTTCTGCTCACTGGCCAGCATGTACCAGAGAGCAGAATCTCATCCTGGAAGTGAAGTAGGAAGGGAAATAAAAAAGGGAAACAGGAAATAGAAAAAGTAAAGTTTGAAAATAAGCATATAAAGTCAGACTGGGCTGAGAAACTTCAAGGCTATAGTTAGGCATTGGATATAAGTAGACAGTACTTATGTACTGGCAGGTGGACATTGGAGACCTAGAGGTGTCCAGTCTGACCTTCTGAATCAAGCAGAGCCTACTGGAACAGGTTGCTGAGGCCCTTGCCCAGGGTGGGTGTGGACACTTCTGAGCAACCAATCCAATGTCCAGATACCCTCATGGTTTAAAAATAAAATAAAATAAAATAAAATAAATTCCTTAAGTAGGAATTTAATGTTGCGGCTGGTTTGTTTCATCTTACACTTGCTGAAGTTTGACTCTAGTTTTCACACACTTTCCCTTGTTGTATACAGTAGCAAGATGACCCCAAGTCATTTGTTCCTAAGGGTGAACAAATGCACTTCTGATGTGTCCTGTGCTAGAGTGGCCTGGCACTTTGTTTGCTTCAGTATGTCCTTGTCTGTTGTGCACTTGGAGCCGTAAACAGGATGCAGTCCTCTAGGCATTGTCTCACAAGCCCAAGGAGAAGGCTAGAGAAACTTACTGTGGCCTGCTGGCTACACTGCTACTAGTACAGCCCAGAATTTGGTTGACCTTTGCTGCAGGGGCACACTGCTGATTCACATTTAGGTTGTGCATCTGGAGCATTAAGCCTTTTACTATGAAACCACTGTGTAGCAAGCTGCTGCCCGGCCTGTCCTGCTGCATGGGCTTGTTCCTTCCCAGATGTGGGACTTCACATTGACTTTGTCATACCCCTGGAAATTTCTCATTTTTTCAGCCTGCCTAGGTGACTTCAAGTAGTCTTGTCCATCAGTGCACTGATGGCTAGCCCTGGTTTGGTTTTACCTGTAGACTTGCTGAGAATACAGAGAAACCATGTGTCAAAGTTCTTCATTGAAAAAGGTCTTCTCATTGGAAAGTCTTTATGTTGTGTGAATCAGAAACACAAACAGCTTCATATTATAAGCTTATAAATAACCTAGCGGTGAGGAATAGCTCTCTCTGAAGGGCAGTGCAGTACTGCAGGGTGAAGTTAGTACCACTTCATCAAGTGTCCATCATTGGGTAGAGCAGCGGAGGACAGTTTCCTAAATCTTATTCTTGTGACTGTGTTTCAGGGTGAGTCAGACTTAAGTATATAGATGGTGAGGAGTGGGAGTATGACTGATTGACTGTGAATCACAGCATCATAGAATCATTTGAGTTGGAAGGCACCATTAAAGGTCATCTAGTCCAACTCCCCTGTAATAAACAGGGACACCTGCAGCTCCAACAAGGTGCTCTGAGCCCCATCCAACCTGACTTGTCTCCAAGGACAGGGCATCTACTACATCTCAGGGCAAACTCTGCCAGTACTTCTCTATCCTTATTGTAAAAGAACTTCTTTATATCCACTGTAAATCTCCCCTTCTTCTGTTTGAAAGCATTTCCCCTTCTATCACAACAGACTGTGCTAAAGAGTCGGTTCCCTTCCTTCTTACAACTCCGTTTAGATACGGAAAGGCCACTTTCAGGTCTCCTCAGAGCCTTCTCTTCTCCAGGCTGAAGCTTATGTTAGCACAAATTGACTATGTGAGACAGTCTTTAACTGTGGAAGTATATTCCTCAGTCTGAGTGTAGGAAAGGAGTTTGTTTTTTTTTAACTGCTCTCCCCTCCATCAGATGATTCCCAATTTGATGTCATGGCTGTGTGGCTGCTCCCAATAGTCCAAACTATTCATTTTAGAGTATTAGCTTTATTTTTGCTACCTGTTGCTTTTATGCACCAAATTTTTAACCCTTGGGATATTGCCAGAACTGCCAAATCATTCTCCTATTTTGTGTTCATGGTGACATTTCTCAGTATTTTCTGTCCCTTCATGGAAGACTGTGGGAGTCCAGCAGCAATTCCCAAAACCCTGAAAAGTGATTAGCAATTACTGTTCTCTAAGTGTCTAATGGGGAGATAAAGACAGGCCACCAGGTGTTCAAGCAATAGCACTTGGTGGCATGGAAATTCAACACTATCTATTAAGTGGTGAGAAGAAGGTAAGTGCCTGCCCCTGGAGATATCAGCAATTATTTTGATGCATGCATTATATCCCATTTTCTCTGGTAATTTTTATAAATTCTACTATTGTTTTTTAACATAACACCCCCTGATATAGGCACTTAGCCACATTTTTAGTAGCAGAATTGATATGTAACCACAAGATGAGTTTCTGTTAAAGGTGTTTTTCTTGCACAATCTGTGAAGTCGCATTTTTAGCCCATCCCTTTGTACCTAACACGGCATATTTGTGTACAGCAGCAAAGAAACGGGGCTACGCTTCACATTCCAGGTTTAAAATAAATAATAGCAAAATAGCTTAGGAGCTTAGCAAATGTTCTTCCGTAGCAAATCATATTGTTCACTTACACTGTCTTCTTTTCTATTTCAGGAGGTTGGAAGCATTATTGGAAAGGTCAGGAAATTACTTTTTCTCTTTATTGCCATGTCAAAATATTGCATATCTGTACCCTTCATCAGCCCAGGCTAACTTTTTTCTCTTTCTTCAACAGAAAGGTGAGACAGTTAAGAAGATGCGGGAGGAGGTAAGATGAGCCTTGATGTCTTCACTTGCCTTCCTTGCCAGGGAAATCAGGGTATGGAACGGCACTGCCATCAAGTGGACAGCTCTCTGAGCATCACCTCCCTGTTACACGCGGCGCTGTGCAAATGTGCTGGCCTAAATTAAGCACTGTTGTTAATGTCACTTCCTTATCACTGCAGCAGTCTGGAGCCCTTCATTCCCATAGCAATGTGCCTGCTGCTGTCTTATCTCGAACAGATTAGCCAGCATGATTGTGCGCGTCCAAACCTCTGTGTCTTTCCCCAGCCTGCCAGCATTGCTCCTGTGTGCATCATGGTTGCCCGGCAGGGAGCTCCCATAATCTGACACCAAGCTTTAGAGTGATGCTATATAAAGTGTGAGGTAAACTCACCCTTCAGCAGAGCTGGAGCTGAATGTCACAAGCCAAAGCATTCCTCTGCTATGTCTGGGCACAGACTTGACTTTTCCTCATTTTGCAGCAGTCAGTAGTGTTTGGACGGAGTAGACCTGCACACCAGCCATTCACATCCTTTGAAAAGGTTGTAAGCACAAAGAAACTAATGGAGGCATGGCTCTGCGTAAACTTTTATCTCGCCAGTTGTTGTAGGCCTCTTTCTCTACCCCAATGCAAGCTGCAGAGAATTATACCTTGTGTCCTGCACATCAACACATTTAACCTGCACACATCCTTGAAAGTTTCCTTCTTTGAAACATTGGCTAAAAGCAGGATTCAAAAGAAGAATCCTACTGCTTGAAACTTTAGGACACAAGGTGTACAGAGGATGCTTCAAGAAAAGTTAGTTTGGTTCTGGTATCTCCACTGCACTTTGCTCTGTCACTTGAGTTGTTATTTTGTACAGTGATAGGTAGTCTCTGGCAGAAAAATCTCAGCATACTTGAAGTGAAGAAAATTATGAGATACCTCTTTAAACATACACTACAGGGAGTTCATTTTCAGGCTGTATGAATTCAGAGCTCTTCTGTTGATGTTGAGAGATTTCAGCCACATTTTTATAAATAAGTATAATTGTTAAAATTTAAAAAGAAAAAAAAAAGAGGGAAAAAAAATTAGAACATTTTTCAATATACTAGGTAACCCTTAGAGTCAATTAAACACATTGTAGTCTAATTTTTAATTATGATCACAGGTAGATGTCTTTGGGTTTAAGTTGGCTGCACGCAGGGGAAACTGTCATTAGAAAGTGTTCCTGATTTCTGAGTCAAATGTCTTTTAGAGAAGTGTTATAGTTCCTGATCAGTTTTTCAAGGTAAATATAAGATATTTTCCTTAAAAAGCTATTGTCACTTATAGATAACTGCAAGCAGTTTGGTTTTTCATTTTATAAAAAGGAATTGTATGCCTCTTTACTACTAACAAGGACTAAGCAGATGTGTTTCCAAGTGATGATAACTCAGTCCTTCTTTTAAATCACCAACTCCTCCAATCCTCCTTTAAAAACAAACCAGTTTTATTTTGACTTCCCTGGTAGATGTGGTAATTTGCAAGCCAGTAACAAAATACAGCGTTGACTTGCTCTGTCATCAGAGAAATGTTATAGAAATGTGAGTCTGAAGTACGAACCCCACCAATCTGTGCCCTGCAATCATTAACTTTCTGCACAAATATTGGAGATTCCCACATAATCTATGGTTGTTCTGACCAGAAATGTACTAGAGGGCCGTGCGATGGTTGAGGCCATATCCCCGGCAGCTCTTCCCAGCTGTGCTCCTGCCTGGCTCACTGCAGAACAGTACCCCAAGGACAGACTGTAATCCCTGCAACCAAATGCTGCAGCCAGCTGAACTCACCTCAGGCTTGATCTCCTTCCTGATAGAACTGTGGTGTTTGACTGAGACAATCCCCACTTGGATTCACCTGTAAGAAGAAGTGTCTGCCACCCTTTCTTTTCTATGAATACCAAGTGGATCTATCAGCAAACACCATGACAGCTAGATTTTTCTATTAGTTAGTGGTGTGGATATTTTGTTGCTGTGATTGGTTGTTGTCACTTGGGGAAATAAGCTATCTTACTGTTCAGCAGCAGTACACACATGAATAAAGGCTCAGGCACACAGCACATAGCTGGTTTGTGGTAACTTTGGAAGCAAAGGGTTTCAAGCTAGGACAGGGGAGATTTAGGTTGGATATAAGGAGAAAGTTTTTTACAGTCTGAGTGTTGAGGCATTGGCACAGGTTGACCAGAGAGGTGGTGGATGCCTTGTCCCTGCAGGCACTCAAGGTCAGGTTGCAGGGGACTCTGAGCACCCTGATCTGCTGGAGGTGTCCCTCTTCATTGCAAGGGAGTCAGACTTGATGGCTTAAGGCTCCCTCCAGCTCAAATGGTTTTATGATTCTACAAACTCACAGTATCTCACATTTGCTGGAGGCCTGCATCCTCATGGAGGTCAGCATCTCTGCATCAGTTGATGCTCTGGTGACTTGTTAGGCTGCATTAACTCATTTCCGTGGCTGAAACCTCAGAGGAGGAACAGGGTTTATCTTACCCAAACTGGATTTGATTATTACATCCACTGATAATCCTATTAAGCATATTTACATCTGATTTAGGGGTTTTCTCTGCAGTGCTACAGTAACATATAAGGGAATAAGTATACCTGAGAGCCATGCTCCTTAGTCTCTAAGAAGCAGTTTTCCAATTCCTTCCTGCAGGCTCCTTGCTTTAAAGGAGATAACACCATCCCCATTGCGTGTCCTACCAATAGTTCTTTAAAGGATTATTTTGTGCATATTGAGTAAATTTCCATGACACACAGCTAAAAGGAACCATCCCATATTCCGAAGCAATGCCCCAACTAGACACATCAAGCACTGTATTTGAGTCCAGGCTTCAAAGTATTGATGCTCCCTGAAGAAAAGAAGCTTGTCTGAAATTCTGCAGTTCCAGTCCTCTATAAGGTTAGCTTTTCAAAAGCAAAATCTTCATAATGTAATTATTTGTACCTTTGAGTTATAGAGGTGCTATTTGCATACTGTGATGAAAGCTGGTTAAGTGTTTACTGAGACAGAACCTGGCTTCCCACAGTTAGATGAATCTTTGGTGTGTGATCAGTTTATGCTGAAATTATATATGTTGAGGCTACAATTGTAGGCGAGCAAATTAGATGCCTGAAGATATTCCTTCCCAAACTATATCCCTGTTCCTGCTTACTTTTCTCCCCAGGAAGTATAAAATTGAAAAGTATTTGTTCTTTTTGACAGAGTGGGGCTCGAATCAATATTTCTGAAGGCTCCTGTCCAGAAAGAATTGTGACCATAACAGGCCCAACAGATGCAATTTTTAAAGCTTTTTCTATGATTGCACTAAAATTTGAAGAGGTAAGCAAATAAATAAATAAATAAAAATTCTCTCTTGAAGTTGAAATACAGATACAAATGTTTGAATTTTCTCATGTTTGCTTTAAAGTTAAATATGATTTGTTTAATGTTCTATTTAATAGCAATGAAAGTGGTTGTATTTTTATAAAGGCTTTTGGCGGTAACACCGAAGAAAAATAATGGGTCAATTTACAAGCTGTTTGATCATTTCTTTCGCTTTTTGGAGGCTTCAGGGAAAAGCAATTGCTTCTAGTAATGTGCACTAATGATAAGAAAAATGTCTTAGAAAATGTCTGGTCCCATCGTGAGTATGATTTGCAAAAAATAATTGCCGAACTTTTAGCTCTGTTTTTATATGATTCCATTTGGTATTGATGTAAATTTTACATACATCAAAATGAGTATATAATTCATTCAACTAGAAAATTTTTATTTTAAAGACCTACGTAATTACTAATTACCATATTTAAGGATTGGCTTTTAAAATTAATTATAATGAAGGCACTAATAGTAAGTGAGGCAAGGGAGTGCTCAATTTACCATAGAATTACCATTCCATGCAGATATGTACCTAAAGTGCTCGGAATCTCCTCAAGTTTCATGGACCAGCTGCAGTTAGATTTGGTCACTGCCTTAATGGAAAACTTAAAAAAAAAAAAAAAAGGGAAAAAAAAAAGGCAGCAGGCTGCCAAACATGAACCCTGTTCACACAGGAGAGGACTTGACTCCCTCTGCTTTTGAAAATCACTCATCCAGCTGTCTCTCCTGTACTCTGTGGGAAGCAGAAGCTCCTGCAGAAGGCAGTTCACCTTCTCCTGAAGGAACTGCCTGCAGAGAGGTGATGATGGGGAATGCCAGTGTGTAGCTTTGTTTACCTTTGGTGATTATTCAAATTTAGAGCAACAGGATCAGAAGAGAGTTTGTGGGTCATTAGGTGCAACTGTCTGCTAGCATAAGAAGTATGTCTTGCAATCTCCTTCATGGCATGATCAAAAACTACTGTATATTTTTCTAGTTCCTGATATTGGATTCTCAACCTCAGTTCTGATACCTGGACACCTTCTCTCTCCCCGTGGAAATTTATTCACAAGTTGTTTTTATGGCTTTGTTCATGCACCAGCAGTGGCTGTTAATTCTTGCCTTTCCAGGCCTGAGGTTTCCTCTCAGACATATTTTTATGAAACAACTTTATCCCCACACACTGTTGCTTTTTCTAGAATAGATGAGCCAAGCTCATTCTTTCATTAAGTGCACTCTCCAAACCCTCAATACTCCCTTTGTACCTTTGCAGTCTATGCTAAATGCCTATGTTAATTGTGGACAGGTTGCAAATGAAGTTCTGCAGGGGTTTAATTAATGGTATTAAATGTCCCCTGGGCTGGCCACCATGCTAACACAATCCCATCCCTCCTGGCAATGCCTCACCCCCACCTAGGGTAACATTTTGTTATATAACTGCACTGGGGCTGTGACATACCCAGCTCATCCTCAGGTATGTTTATTGGGAACTTCCTAAATCTCAGCAGACAATCTTGTTAGTCCCCAGGCAAATGACTCTTCTCTTTAATACTGGAAATGTTAATCCCGTTCATCCTCTTCCACTCTTTCATGATCTTTCAGATCTTCCTATGTAATTTTACAGTTGTTCAGTGTGCTAATAAGGTACCTTGGATTTATGGCACAGCACATTTTTTTGTTTATTTTCTTTACCAGTTTTTAATGAGATATTGCTGATTTTGAGGTTGAATCTTGCAGAACTGCACAAGCAATTCTCTGTAGTCCCATTGTAAAGCCATCTGTTGTCATCTTTTGTGTTTGCCCGGGTGTGGTCCTCAGTTAGTAGCTGTGGCTCAGTTGTGTGAGATGTGGTCCAGACACAAAGTCAGGGTTGGAACTAGATGACCTATAAGGTCCCTTCCAACCTAAACTGTTTCAGTGATGAACTGCTGCTGTCAGAGTTTCTTTCAAGCAGTTGTGTTAAAATACAGCTAGGCCTGCCTACATTGAAAATATAAACTCTGCAAGTTAAAATATGTGTATTTAAGTGGCATTTTATGCAACAACTAAAAGGGAGAATGAACATTTTATTTTTGTATTCATTGTGTATATTCACACATTGTGCCCCCAGAGTTTGTGCTCTGTGCAGCCCACTAAGCAGCAGGTGTCAAGAGCTCTTATGTTGATGTTGGTCCCAAGTCTCAATGTAGGCTATGTTTAAACAATCACATGACAAATTGACTATTTCCATCCCTGCCTGTGGACGAATAATGTGCAATACTCCGTTTTACACATAAATATTTGTTCAGCCCTTTTATGGTTGGAGAAAGCTCTTGTAACAGCTCTGAACATGAATCACTTCCTTATCAATCTGACTGATACCCATCAGGGATTCTAGATGAGGAAGACAGGCAAAAAACCATGCAAGGTCCAACTCTTATATCTTTCAAAGGCCTGAGGAGATGGATGCAGTGCACAGAAAGAGGCTAAAGAAACAAATATTCCAGTTCAAAATAAAACTGTCCTGCAGGAATTTTTCCAGCCAGCACTACTTTCGGACATGCAGTTCTGGAGGGGATCTTTTTGCTCACTCATCTTTTCTGTGTTTTTAAGCTGATCTGATGCCTCTATAAGTATGTCACTGAAATTCCATGTTTAGGTTTGACTACTTCTGAACAGTGAGGAGAAAATAGAGTAGAGCAGTCTTAAATGAACAACTGTTTTGATGTGCTTTTAAGTGCACTGAGTGCAGTGAATGCTTCGAGGCCAGTTCAGTTATGATGTAGAAGTGGGAGACATTATCAGATCATGTTGGGTGGCTTTGAAGTGAGTTATTTACCTGCGTCTGGATGATTATGTGCCACTACCTGACACTAACATGATCTAGTGAAGTGATATCTTCCAGCTGAAAAATCGGTATGACTTGCACTTTATTTCAGATACATGTGTGTTGCAGAGCTCTGCTATCCTTCTCGCTTTATTTTGGATTGCAATCTCTCACTGACACTGGTACTAAACAAAATGTGAGTTAAGGGCAGAGGACTGACTTGATCGCTGTCTTATGGTGTGCAGCCATGCCTCATTGTGCTCAGGATTTGTTCATCTCTTTGAAGCTTAGCAAGGTCATACTGAGCCATTTCTTAGACAGCAGAATGTTACCATCTCAAATGCAGAAGTACTGCAGCGAACAGTGCTGGTGTTCCCATAGGTTGTTTGGATAGCTTGTGAATTGCTTGCTTGCTTGCTTGATTTTGGTCCCTTCATTCAGTGGGAAGGTCAGCTTTATCTTTTCCTTTGTGATTTATTTATTTATTTTTTTAATCTGATGATTTTATGAGTATGTCGTTGAGACTCCTTGTTTGGATTTGACTCCTTGTAGACGATGAGAATAAAGAAATTAGAGGGATAGTTTTGACGTGGCTGGAAGACTTTGAAGAAACAAAAATATATTTAAAACAGTGTAAACCTTGTGACAAGTAGTGTATTAAAAAGCCCTTGAAAATAGGCAGTGTAGTTTGACTAGATAACAAAATATGTGAATACATGTTAAAATACCTAGGTACAGATAACTGCTATTGTTTATACTCTGGTTATATAGCTGTGATGGAAACTATTTTAGAAAGTGTACAGTGCTATAAATATACAGATCTGCTACAAAAGAGAAATTAAGCGTGGGTGCAGCAAAGTATTTATCAATATTATCTGCTTTTATTTGCTTCAGATTGGTCACAGATCATTTTTGTCATTCCCTCTTAAAACCTTTTTTCTTTGTGACAATGAAGAAAAGCTACGTGAAAAGATGTAATATATAGTAGAAATGTTCAACTCAAGATAGTGGAAAAGAAACAAAGTCAGGATTTGGGGGCCTGTGAACTCAAAAACCTGCTTATTTTTTCCATCTGCTTCAGCTGGTCTAAAGGCAGGTGCCACAGTCACCTCCCAGTCTTTTCACAGAGGCTGTCCCCTGGTTTCACTGCTGTGACAGCAGGGAGCACAAGCCTTCCTCCTCTGCTTCTTGTGCAGCCATGCTTACAGTGTATCATCTACATTGCTGGTGGCTTTACCTGCAGCAGAGATGAGACGCAATTAGTTACAAACTGCCCGAGTCCTCAAGAACTGCTCAGGCATTTGCTCTGAGCCCTTTAGTACCCAAAAGGAATGACAAATCCTCAGCTAATTCTGATTGATGTTGCTATTACAGGACATAAATGCTTCAATGACAAACAGCTCAGTGACAAGCAAGCCACCTGTAACACTGCGACTTGTCGTGCCAGCAAGTCAGTGCGGATCCCTTATAGGAAAAGGAGGCTCCAAAATCAAAGAAATCAGGGAGGTAAGTCTCGAGGTGTCTGCCAGGATTTCTGACTAGCTCAGTGTCATTCCATTGCACTTTGCCAATGGAGATTTTTTACTCAGAGGGCAGTGAGGCACTGGCACAGCTGCCCAGAGGGGCTGTGATGCCCCATCCCTGGAGGCACTCAAGGCCAGGTTGGATGGAGCCCTGGGCAGCCTGAGCTGGTGGGGGCAGCCCTGCCTGTGGCACAGGGTTGGGGCTGGGTGGGCTTTGAGGGCCCTTTCAACCCAAACTATTCAGTGATTCTGTGAAGATTATTTTATGGAAATTATGTGTCCAGCATTTTCTATGAATCATTGGTTCATGTCAGCTGTGAAAGGAGGAGGTGGTCATAAATGGATGTTATCCTGTTGACTGTCAAACGTGCTGAGTGAAAAGCCTCAGAAAGCCTTACTCTGCAGCTCGCCGATGACCAACACCACGGCGCCCTTGTACCTTCCTAGACACAGAGACAGCATATGAAATAAACAAGCAGCTTTACAAACACTACTAGAGCAGCTCAAACACAGCTTGGATGAGGAAAATAAACAATTGAGAAAACAGTCAAGCACATTTCAGCAAATCAACACCCTAGCAAATAAAAATGTCCTTTCAGATTTCTTTTTCGGCATCGTCCTCCAGCCAGCAACACTGAGGAGGCCAACCCAGAGTGTTGTGGACATTTCCAGGCCAGTTCCAACGTTTGCAGTCAGGGAAAGGCCCAGGTTGTGATGGGGAGGCCAGGTCATGAGATCAAACTCTTGAGCTATCTTTTTTTTTTTAATTGATTTGTTTTTCTGCTTCTCCCTAATCTCACTGTTCCATGAGTGACCTGACCTCATCTATTCTCATCTCATATTGATTTATTTTTAATTCAGACTTTATCTAAAGGCATTCATTCAATTCACTGTGCTAGCAGCCACATTTTTCTCTAATCAGAAAATGCAAAAATGATCACACAGTGTCAGCTTGAATTGTTCCTACTGTGACTACAGCAACTTAGCACGTCAAGCTGAGGATCTGATGTTTTTAATCAGTAAAACAATAAAAGTAGGTACATGCTAAATTTATGTAAAGGGAATCTGAATAAACATTTCTGAAAATGGCTTTTTACTCTGGAGAAAATGATGGTGCTCCTTCTACGTTTGTATTCTTTCTAACACAGAACAAAGTGTTGAATAGCAAGATGAAGTTCATTTTTATTGGACTTTATCAAAACAAAAGCTTTTCACCAAGTTTTACCAGGGAAACTTTCCTTTTTATCTGAAAACGTATCTTCAAGACAGTATGTTTCATTGAACTTCCAAGTTTCGTTTTCAAACATGGAAAAAAAAGTGGACATTTTGGTAAGAGAAGATTTGATCAGATGTTGTAGAGGACTGGAAAATGTTCTGATCAAAATTAAATGTGTAAAATTTGCTCTGAAATGTTGCATTACGGTAACCGTAGAAGAATAAGTGACCATAGAGGACAGTCCAAGGTCTTGTCCTCTTGACTTTCAGATACTTCCAGATTCTTTCATTTGGATTCAAATTTTATTGTTCTGGGAGTTTTTCAGTGAAGTTCTTTATGCGAGCACATCTTCACCAGTCAAGATTAGACCTCTGCTGGAAGGTTTTTTCCTCTCCTCACATGTATTGAAGTGCAGACAGTACACACTGCTTCCATCAGCTGGCAGAGCAGCCAAAGGCTGTTGCAGTTTTTGCAGCCACACAAACAGCGTGTTGTTTCTCCGTGTGCCTTTTGCTTTATAATGGAAGCACATGAAAATGTGCATATATTGTCTGCTGTAAACTCATGGAGGAATAATTCAGAGCTCTACCCTTTGAAGTGGTCTTTTTATTTACCAAGACCTGCAAATAATTTTATTTTTTTTTCTTGTTTTTTTTTTTTTTTTTTACCCTTTTTTCATTAAAAAGTCAGGGAGCTGTGCCTCTCATTGGTACTTACTTTCAAGCATGCTTTTGGGCTGTGGGAGACAGTGTCACTTGATGTGCACTTAATTTTCTATGCAAATATTAGACATATAGGAAACTGGTCTCTTTATTCAGAACTGTCTGGCAGTAGGGCTCTGGCTAGTTTCTCATTTGTGTTAAAGTAGTACTGGGCAGAAGCACAAAGTGTGGTCTGTTAAGCACTTAGCAGCTGGTTTTATAGCTGTCACCCTTTTGTCTTTTGTTTCAAGTTCTGGAAATCTAATCTGTAACGCTGTAACGCTGAGTGCCTGTAGGACACAGGTTCTTATAGGTGAAATTGGTCTGTGTATTACTACAATGATTGTCCTGGTGGGAACAGTTTTAGAAGCAGTTAGCTACTTCTCTAGTGCAAGGAAGTAAAAGGATATTGTGTAGTCAAAGGGGTCTTTGGGTAAGGCTAATGTAGCGTGGATGCACACTTCACATTTGCATAGTCAGAAGGGTATTGGGAAGATCTTATTTATTTTTTCATTGCTGATGTGTGACCAAAGTAAAAGAATAAACAAAACTAGCATTGGAAGCAAATACATAAATGACTGCAGAATTTTGCAGAGTATTTTATGGTAGTCATACAGATACCCAGAACTGCATGTTAAAAAATAACCACTATCAAACAGCAACAACAAAAAAAGTGCATCTACCTTAAGATATGATCTAATTTCATTGTCACACAACACACTGAGTAACAATTCCATGAGGGTTGGATGCTTTTTTGTGTTCAGCCAGTTAGGGTTGCTGTCCAAGAACAGCAACGAATGCATTTGCAAGAGAAGGCTGTAAGAAAAAGATGGGAAGGGAAGGGAAGGGAAGGGAAGGGAAGGGAAGGGAAGGGAAGGGA